TTCCAAGTCCTTGAATCTTTGCTCAATTCATTTCCTCTGACTTACTTTTCCTGTATTAAATGGATGAAATATAGTATTATCAACAAGAATCAGCAAAGCTGCGTCAACAAATTCAGTTGCTACAGAATTCTAACAGGTACAATCTGCACAGTACAAATTTACATTATTAATTGATTCAGTTTTTGCAATAAAAAATTAAAGGTAAACTTTTTATGGTCTTAACCAATAAAACAGACAACTATCAAACTAGGGGACAATTGTTTATTCTTGACGTTTTCTTAACAAATTAATTGAGAAATATATATATATATATATATATATATATATATATGAAATACGTGAGATTTATTAATCAATTTCTATGACCGTTAAGTGGATTAATTAAAAAGGTACAAAAAAAACCTTAGAGCTTGTTTAGAAACGTGGGTCAATCTATATTTTTATAAAATTCAAATTTTTTTACTAAAAAATAATTTTTTTACTAAAAAATAATTTTTTGTATGTTTTGATGCTCTAATTTTAAAAAAAATTTTAAAAAATAAAAAAAAAATATCATTTTGATACATTTCATCACAAAAAACACTTTAAAAAATAAATGCAATCACACTCCCAAACAGACCCCTAAAAAAGTTAAAAATGTGCTAACAAAACTAAATCAATAATCAAAATCAAGCATAAAAGAATCTTAATTAAAAAAAAATTCAAATAGTTTGCAATATAATTTTTCTTTCTATGAACATGATTAAAACACACAGAAATGCGCTTATTGCATGCATTAAAAATATCATTGAATTTAGTTTGCAAGCTTCAAGGCCGCATAACATTTTCTCTTTTAATCCAAGTAATGGCATTGTAAGAATTTGATTCAACAACTCATCAATTTGTAGAAGCATAGTAGCAGTCAATACTCAAAAGCATAGGTTTTTGAATAGCCAGAATGTAGCTTCATTAAATTTCATATTACTTGTCAAACAAGAAAAAATACAAAGGAATTTTCTTTTATGATCTTTGAGAACACCACTAATTCCTTAAGGTCTTGGTTTATTACTTGAAGACACATCAACATTCCACTTGAACATGCATAGAAGGTTGCATAGAAGGTAGTCAAGAAGAATCATTTCTCATATTTTTCTTTTTTATAGATAATCATTGAGAGTATATTGAAAAGGCTATTAATAAACCAATAGCTAAAGAAAAATACTTGGACAAGATAAAAAGAAAAAAAAAACAAACTTAGGAGAAAAAAGAAAAAAGAAAACAAAACTGATTTGCTACAATAAAATACAAAGAAACTATGTAAGATTTCTTATTACACCATAATATGATGCCATCAGAAGATTTTATGAGGTCATTTCCTGTATAAGTGAAGTTGGAATCCAAAGTATGCAACCAAATAGCAATTCGATGAAGGATTGTAGAGAAATAATCAAACAAACTTATAGTTCCCTCCTTAAAAACAATGTTGTTCCTCAACAACCAAATACTCCAAGTAGTACTACTGAAAATTAGTCTCCAAGCTAATCTTTGAAATATACTCAGCACCATTCCAGGCCATTGCAAAAGCAGCGAGTCTAGAGTGCTTGGCAAATAATATTGAATACCCCACCGATCTAAAATTTTCATCCAAACACTCCTAGAAAAGTTACATTGTATAAAAAGATGCTATAAAGTTTTCAAATTTGAGTTACAAAAGACATATGAAGCTTTTGTGGCGAGCAAAAAATTCTGGTAATGGAGAAAAGTTCTTGTGCTAACGTTGTTCTAAACTATCAATCATAGAAACACCTGAACTTTCAGAGGGGTCCCTCTTAATCTAGACATTGGTTTCAAAAACTCTATCATGAGCAAAAGAGTACTATCAATTAGGGTGCAATAAGACTTAACTGAAAAACTTCCATCAGAATTACATGGTTATATGATTTTATCCTTTTAGTTCATGTCAAAAAATCATTTAATGAACAAAGTAAATTTGACTCGATAGAACAGAAACTCCCATCATTATATTTTGTTTAAATAGAAACTCGATGAAAAAAGAATAATACACTCCAACCCAATCTGTTTATTTCTTATTAAAAAATCAAATTATTGTAGTAATTGATTCCAAATAGGCCAAAGTATACCAAAGAAGAACAACCACCACATCTTCTTATTTTATTTTTTTTGCATAGGTTCCATAATAAGAAAAGTCATCAAAAGATTAAGGCAAGATCAACTGTTATCCCAACCAATTTATCACCTGAGATATAACTTCCAAATCATTTCACCATAAAGAAAATATGAGTTGCAGTTTTAATTTTTTTTACAAGAAAAAAATTAAAATCGATACCTTGAAACCTACCTTTTAGATATAAAAAATATTATGTAAACCTATCTTTTGCGAGCACCAAAGTTTATCTTAAATGAATTTGTACAATTTTTTTTATAATAATCAAAAGTTTTATCAAGAAAATGGCTACAAAGATAATAGCCTTATTTACATTAGATGAATAAGTAAAGGAAAGAAAATAAAGAAAAGATAAGCATAAAAGATGTTGCATGAAACAGGAGAGCGCAACAATTAGAGGGAACAAAAAAAAACATAAGAAATCAACTTCTTCCTACTTAACATCCTCTATATTAAGCTCCAAGGAGCTAGAATCAAGTCTTATTCATAAAGCGACACTTCAGCGCACCATGGAGAAACAGATTTGGAGGTTAAAGGTAATATTAAAAATGACATCATCCTGGCAGAGCTAAAGATTTCATACAACATATGAGAAAAGAAGCTACCATAAGAGATTTTGTTGCTTGTCTTTAACCATGGAAGACCATTAATAACACATATTATTAACAAATTTTGAAAAAACACTACAAAAGCCTTGATTAGAAAGCAGTTTCGTCCATATATTCCAAGTGAAATGGAAATGAATGAAAAAATGATTTGAAGATTCTAAGCTTTTATTAAAGAAAGTGCAACTTAATTTCTAAAGAGTGAGGTAGTCATGTTGAAATGGAAAATCTCTTGTGGTTACTTTGTCTTGGACAAGGAGCTAGAGGAAAAGTTGTATTTTTAGTGGGGTTAGTTTTATAAGTTGCAGTTTTGGTGGGGTTAATTTTATCTAAATAGAAGATTAGAATGGTTTAGCACCACCGTAAAGCAATTGGTCCATCATTTTGGAGCAAGATTTTACACTGACGAAGTCATCGTTATTGAGAGTTTAGATTTTCTTATCCATCTTGCGGCAAAACAAAAGGTTGGAATTCAACAAGGATGATAAAAGTGATAGTTGTTCTTGTTCAAAATGAAATAAAAGTTTGCGCCATTGCAGGGACTATAGCCAAATTTAATTATTCCATCTATCCATGTTGTCTACCAACATAGATTTAGAGGTAAATAAAAGATATAGTCTGGGAAAGACTATTTTAGAAGGGTAGTTACCAATCTAGTTGTCTAGCTAAAAGGATGTTAAACTGTCATTCCCCATCATGAATTTGCAATGATTCGTGAAGACATGGTGAACGTCGGTTTGAATAATGAACATAATATCCTTCCAAATCTTGGAGGGTTGAATGTAAAAAATCAGGATCTCATTCTCATAAGCTGGATTGTACATTAAAGAGATAATCATTTTCCATAAACCTGTACTTGGGGAAGAGAGTCTTCAAATCTATTTTAGCAGTAGAGCTCTGTTTTTTTATATAAGAGAGCCTACATCGAGACCTCCTTGTTTCTTATCGCATATCACTATTCCTCATTGGATCTTATAAGAAGATCTTTGCTTGATACATCCGCATCATAAGAAACATCTTTGGATGGATGAAAGAAGCTTACCTATCCCTTTTGGCATCTTGAATACAAAGATAAAATTATAAACAGGAAAATAAATATATAGACAAGGAAGTAAGGACACTTTTAATGAGTAAAGACATCCAACTATGTTTGATAATCTCCCTTTCCATATATGAAACCTTCTATAAAACTTCTTTATCACTAGCTTCCATATGGAGATATAGGATGGATTGGTTCCTGGTGGTATGCTGAGATAATTTTTTGGAAAGGGAGTCTGATCTATAAAAAAATAGATATAGTCAAGTGTAAGCACAAGTGATCGTTGATATTAATACTAATAATGAAGCTTTTATGGAAATTTATGTGAAGCCCGAACTCATAGCAAACCATCTCAGAATTCTCTTACTTGAACTAATTGATTAATATTTGCTGGGATGAATATTAGCATGTTATTTGCATACTGTAGGTGGCTGAGAAAAACAAATTATGTAAATGTGCACAATATTAACTGAAATGTGAATTATGATTCAAAGTTTATAGCTTAAATGAATTTGTCCGGCTATTCCCTTTCCATAATCCGTCCCATTTTAGGTGTAATGATATCCATGGCATTTAGAAAATGTACCAAATGACTTTACCAAGATTTTTGAACCCACACACGGATTAAATGGTCCTTTCATCATTTACGCACTCTTCGTCACAGTATGGTGCTGCTCATGCTTTCCCTTTTTTCTTGTAGGCACTTAATGGGAGAAGCCGTGAGTAATCTGTCGGTGAAGGAGCTAAAGCAGCTGGAGAATAGGCTCGAAAGAGGCATGACTAGAATCAGGTCAAAGAAGGTATGAACTTGTACAAATGGAAGCAAATATAGGAACAAATTTCTTGTCATTGTTGCTTAAAATTGTACGTCTTTCCTTTCTTTTTGACTTGCACATAATTAACATGCACATCAGTGTATCGGCTTTCTAAATATTTTCTGTATCACAGTTTTTTATATGTCCTCAATAGTTTTTGTGCTTTCTACTTGTCTATTGCAACAGCATGAATTGCTGCTAGCTGAAATTGAGTATATGCAGAAAAGGGTAATTCCCATCTTGCTCTCACTTTCATATTTTGGAAACTTTTTTTTCTCTGATTCATGCTCAAATTGATTTGAACACCTCTTTTTAGGAGATTGAGCTGGAAAATGAAAGTGCCTGTCTTCGAACCAAGGTATGGCAGAAAACTAAATTCTCTTATGTTTCAAATGTAGTTGAGGTTCTGTTGATTTTTGTTTATCCTTGACAAATATAGCAGCATTTGTCTTAAATCGCTAGCTTGTTTACTCTTAATAACTTCAGATAGCGGAAGTTGAGAGGCTTCAACAAGCCAACATGGTCACCGGAGATGAGCTGAATGCAATCCAGGCATTAGCAGCCTCTCGCAATTTCTTTGCTCCTCATTTTCTTGAGGGTGGAACTGCATACCCACACACTTATAACAGGAAGATTCTCCATCTTGGGTACTCATCCTTTTCCATTTTCTCGTGTCATTGTTTTGCATTCTATGTTATCTATTACTTTTTCACTTATATTTGAATTGAAAAACAGATTTACATGATCAAATGAGAACGTGTTTCACTAACTGAAAAAGCGTGCCTCCTTAAATGGGATGAATAAACGTTGAATGTTGACTTGATATTGTTTTCTGCATTATTCATGCAGGTAAGAAACTGGAGAACTGATGTATTTTGATACACATGTAATCCAGAAAATGAAGACACTACGATATTATCTGATAGTGTGTGCCCTAGTTAAGATCAGTCCTTGAAGTACTGCAGGTCAATGTAAGCTGGATGTGTTCTAGCTGGAAAGATATCAACATTATTAATTGGCACTGCTTTAATTTGTAAGGATTTTTTGTATGAACTCTACTAAATCACTGTTGAAAGGCAGTTGTTATGCTAGTTCTAGTCTGAAGGATTTCTATCAGATAAATAAAGTTCATATATAGATATAAACATCGTCCTACTTGCGAAAAGAACTAAAAACATTTAAAAGGGCACATATTATTATCACGATAATAAATTTTGTTTTGAACTTTATTTATCTCTCATCAAGCTGAATCAGTTCTATTCGTTGCTATTCCTCAAGATTATAACCATTTCTTCGCGTAGCAGATTTTTCTGCAATTTGGTTTTCATTATGCTGTATAAATAGATGGTTTGTCGCTCAATGAAATTAATCCTCTGCAGACTCTCTCGTTATCTTTAAACTCTGGTTTGATCAAAAACCAACATGCACAAACAAAAACTAATCCAAGAGTACCACGTAGTCTGAGAAATGAAAGAATATGAAGCATGCACGACCATTAACTATGAACGAAGATAGGGCATGCTCGATGAAATTAATCCTCTGCAGACTCGAAATTAGCTCTCTCTCTCTCTCTCTCTCTCTTTCTCTCCCTCGTTAACTTTAAACTCTGGTTTGATGAAAAACCAACATGCACAAACAAATACTAATTCAAGAATACCACGTAGTCCGAGAAATGAAAGAATATGAAGCATGCACCGACCATTAACTATGAACGAAGATAGGGCAAAAATGGAAAGAGATGGAAAACTACCGATCGATATCCACCGGCTAACTGGAAAGGGGGGTAATCGAGACTTGCCATGCGAGAGAGCCCTTGCCTATGCGCTTAGGAAAACATGAATCCAAACCAATACCCTAAACCGGACCCGGCCCAACTCACTTCCATTGCCATTCAAAAGTACGAGTACGAGAAACTCCACAACGTTCCAAAGTAGTTTGATTCGGATGTTAATGTTTTTTTACCATTAAATAATTTTTCTCTGTAAATTTAAAAAGTTTATTGTAATTATTTAATTGAATAAATTAAGAATTATATTATATATGTATTAATAAATAATAATAAATTTATTAATTATAATATAAAAATTAAATGAAAACTTGGCTAAAAATGTTATTTTTTTAAAGAAAAAGATATTGAATATTTGTTTAATTTGAAATTAAATCTTACAAATTTTAATTGGTTTAAATTAATAAAATTTAATTTAATTTAGACAAAACAGGCATTAACTCAAAATCATTCTCGTACGTTTTCAATCAACTACATTATGAAAATATATACTAACAATTATATTATGTATGTATTATGTATGTGTTACTTGGAACCGTATCATTTCAGGCATCATGTACTACTAGAAAGAAGCATTTGCAGCGAGAGCACTGCATGCATAAACCACAATATAAACATCAAACACAATATCATTCTCGTACGTTTTCAATCAACTGAACATGGTCTGTCGATTGTGTCAGAGAATGGCACAGCCTCCCTTATTACGGAGCTCCTCCTGAGCCTTCTCTAGACTCTCTCTAAGCTTGCGAATTTCTTCATTTGATTTCCTTTGCTCTGATTGTGCATTCTCTTCTGCGCGAAGTCGAGCGGCATGCTCTTCTGCCAACCGCCGCTCAAGATTACCGGTTGCCTCTTTAAGCTTCATCTCAACCTGCACGTCAACATAGAAATCAAAAAATAATTGATACACTTGTACCCAGCCATATTAGACAAGGCCACAAGCTAAATGGGAGAGGCTATAAGGGTCAAGATTCGATACTGTGCCTGGAAGGGGAATAGAGAGACAAAATCTATGTGATAAGGGGTTTCATTCTTTTCAAAATGATTCTGCTTTCAAAATAGCTAATCTAAACTGTCGCCACTTAATTTTCACTGCAGCAAGATTTCATTATTTTTCCACAACTGCGTCATTCATTAAAATCATGAATATCTATACTGTCTCTAAATCTTGAGCTATGGTAAGTGCATTGTGAATTAAAAAAATCACAGCATGCAGTTTCCCAGCAACAATAGTTCATAAAATGTCAGATTGAATAAATCACACACAAAGGTGCACTTACTCTTTTTTCTAGTAAATCAATGGCAGCATGCAGTTTCCCACACAAAGGTGCACTTACTCTTTTTTCTATGAAAAGCAGGAGGATTCAAGAATATACTACACACAAAATTCTAATGTTTGTAATCATACAATTACAATCTGAAAATTTGACCAGTACCATTAAACATAGAATAAGGATTTCCTGAGGAATAAATGAATCTTGATTTTGCTGAGAGAGATCTTTTAAGAACATAGGAGGCACATGACCGTTTTAAAGACAAACTAAATCTTCAGATCCTACAAACAAGAGCACATGGGAAACCTGTGAAAACAAGGGAATTGAGCAATACCATCTCAGTTACTCGTTTCAGCTGTTCTTCATATTGTATTTGCATCTGCTCCTTCAACTCTGATATTTCTCGTAAAGAAAAGTTCCCCTTCAAGGAATTAACCTCTTCTTGTTGATCACGGAAGTTCATTTCCCCTCTCTATCATATCAATCAAGTTACCTCCCAAAAATTTTACAATGAAGTACAAAAGCATAGCCAAAGTTTACAAAAAACCAACCTGTATTTCAGCAAATAATTCATCACTGTATGGTTGCCCAGCATTCTGTTCCATGACCCTGTTTACTAGGGAGAGAAGCTCCTGCATCTGCTCAGCTCTCTTAAATAAATCTTTAGTTTTGTTATCAAAAAGAACTCGTCGATTCTCACACAACTTGAGAACTTCCTGCAAAAAAAATTTCAATAAATTGTCATGTACTTAAATAAACTACAAAATGCATGAGTTATCCTGCATTTAATCACTACAGGTAAATATCCGGCCATTCACTCAAGTGCAGAAACATTCCATCTCTCACCTGAATAACAATCTTACTTTTGACATTGACAAAATCTGGTGGTAGTATCATCATTATTGTTGATAACAAAGAAAGAAATTAACTTCCAAAGATACTCATCTGACAGACAGTTTTTCAGTAAACTAACTAAACTAGTTCGCTCATTCAACCAAATGTCAGCTATTTCTTAAACAAGTTACTAACATTTTCAAGGTTTTAAAGCATGATCAGCACTGGCCAGCCAAGACTTTTTTGTACAAGGCTGCCCTGCAAATATTAAGCTTTGCATTTATACTTATTTTCAACTAATAATCATGTCAACAACATAACATGACACCAGCCTGAGCATTTGGATCTGCACAATTTAGCAATAGCTCAAATCTAGTAAATCCGTCTTATCTCTACCTTCATAACAATTTAAATTAAAACTCAATAGCACTAATAAGCAAGTCGATGATAAGGAATGTAATGGTAATAAGTAAGCTTGCATCTAAACTCATTTTCAACCATGTAATAGGCATAAGTTAGTAAGTTGCAATAAAAAATCTTATAACTCAGAAAGGTGGCACACCAAGCAAGAGCATTGGGATCTATATGATTTAGCAAAAGTACACATGATATTTATTTTCAATCGACAACGAGTCAATTCTTGTAGCAACTTTACTGACAGTTATGGAAAACCAAATCAAAAGTATAGATTTAAGTAACAAAAGTACTAAATTTCTGCACAATATTTATTATAGTTCCCACTAACTTAAAGAAAGACACAGAATCATGACTAAATAGCACAAGTGAAGTTACAGAATGCAGAAAAACAAAAAGAAGAGAAAAGTTAAAAGAAAACTCTGGGAAGATATTCAATAAGAAGATAAACCATTTAGTAAAATGAATATATTCCTAGAGCTTTTAATTAAAATTCAGAATCTAATAAATTTCCCAGCTTTATAGCATCTTTAAATTTTAGTTTGTTGAAGGGCAGCTGTAATGCATGGTAATCTTTAAATTTTGCAAACTTGAACAATAACTCTCTCTGGAGACCAACAAAGTGGGAGAATATGCAAACTTTCACCTCTAATCAACATGGAGTTGTATGCTACAAGCTATGTTCAAATCCAACATACTAAAGACACCTTTAATCTTCCAGAAAATAAAGAGCTTAAGATCTTGAGATACCATACTTGCACAACTCAAACAATAAGCCAAAGTAACAAATGAAATCATACTAAGTTTCCAATTGATAAATGTAATAGGTGAAAAAATAAAAACAAAAACAAGATGAGTAACCTTTAAAGGTTGTGGACACTCGCGGCCCAAATAATCTTCTAATGTCTCATCATTATCTTCAAGCTCATCTCCCCCAGTGAAGACTACAATCATGTAGTCAAGTATCTTACTTCCAAACAAAGTTTGTAAGCTGCGAAGGGCTGCTTCTTCTTCTTGTGAAAAGCGGGTCCTAACTGAGAAAACTACTAGGACAGCATGGATCCCATCCTTTGCCATATTAATACATTTGACAATTTCTCTGCCAACAAATTCAGATCCAGCAGAAAAATCAAAGAGTCCTGTAATAGCTAATTTGTTAGTTCTTATGCACCATGAAGCCATATAAAAATTATGCGGTACATAACTAACAAATAGGATGAAGTGGAATGATTTGCTAGGACCAAGTTTTTTGGAAAATGTTAAGACTAATTAATCTTAACATTTTCCAGAAAACTTGGTCCTAGCAAAATAGCTTACTGTCCATACCAGGAGTATCAATGACATTGATAATCTGACCATCTCTCAGTACAGTTCTCTGCAATTCACAACTACTGGTAACACCGGATGAGCTAGCCCTTGACTTGAAGGCCTTTCTTCCAAGAATACTGTTACCGGTTGCACTTTTTCCATTGCCTGTGCGTCCAACTAAAACAATTGTTCGAACCCCATTTGATGGTGAAGCAAACTCCCAATCGTCATCCATTGCACTTCCACCCATCATGCCAGATCAGATTACCTACAACATATAAATGTTTACACGGTCTGGTTGGGGAATTTCATGTTTTTTTTTTAGTAACAACGCAACTAATCATACAAAGCTTATTCTTAAAACAAGCTTCTTATGTTCCATTACCAAGCAAAACTTATAGGACTATCTATATCCATAAAGTAATTATAATACAAAAGCTGCTCCACAATTACACAGAGACAAGAACAGTGCTTAAATTAATCTGCAGTAGCACAAATTTTCTTCGCTTTAGCATGCCACTATGGCTAT